GAACCAGCGACCAGACTCATACCGGGCCCGGACGCTACCGACTTGGCCACGACGGAACGATACAGAGGACAACTTTTGGCGGCATCCAGCTGTGACTGACGCCCAAAGACACTTGGCCAGCAGAGCAGGAAAAGTAAATGCGGCCGGGATTTGAACTACCGACTATCCCCACGGTCTGCCAACGACCACGCTTTAACACGCTCGGCTACAAGCTTGCTCCTCCGAGGCCCAGGTCTGAGCTCGGTCCTGCCTAACGGGAGACAAAAAGCGACGAAGAAAAAAATTTGCCCCGCCCGGGAGTTGATCTTAGGGCCGACAATTTTGGTTCGGATGAAGCTGCATGCGGTCATGTCGACTGTAGATACAACTGTTTAACTACAAAAGGGGCATGTGGTTGGTGGCGTCAGACATCGTATGTTGCCCAATTTGTGACCACATTTTTGTGTCCATGAACAGGGACGTGTCTACTACCACTTGTTGCCGCGACACGAGTTGTCGCTCGGACGCCTGCGAGGTACGCCACGGCTTCTCTCTAAGGCGTCTGTCGTGACGGGGACTTTGGGTTTAGGCTCCTTTCGACCCCAGTCTCATAAATCCTTTCTAAAGCTAAGAAGTGACGCGGTGTCAATCTAGGCGTGGGTCGATGATTGGCGCTGAATACGCCTGGAGGGTAGGCAATGCTTTCCTGAATCGGGCCTCCGCGGCCCCCTGTTCCTCCGAGCGCTTGGACATTGGCCAAGGCGAGAGCAGAGCTTCGGAGCATTGATATCTTCCGTTTTCGATTTAGTTCTTTGGGCTGTTTACTTCTGGTTGATATTCTAGCTTTGGCGGAAGTAATGAATTCGTCTGTAGACGGTTCAGTTTAAGCTGACTCGGGCACTGTCGGCTGTAGCTACAATCGTGTAGCTACAAACAGGGGCCGTGCGGGGGCGAGACCGAGACTGCCGCCGGTTCGCCGGTGGCTCCGGCCGCACTTCTTGCGCGCTCTGGCCGTCGTCTGGAATATCCGCAAAGGGGGCAGACTCTGCAACCCCTGCCCCCTTAGAGAGTCCGGCTGAGGTGTGGGGGGCTGACCCTGCGTGAATTGGCCCCCTGGTATGTGTAAATAAACCTGCGACGTGTGAGCTCCGTGAACGTTAGTATGCTATCTTGAATACCGCGGTCCCAGCACACATTTTCTGGAAAAAATGACCCATTTCCCCCCTAAAACTCCACAGAAATTCAGAAAATTTGTTCCAATCACTAACGAGACATCCAATCAGCCTACGCTCATTTTAGAAGTGGGGTACCCCACAGACCCACCTCAAGACCGGACGGACAGGTACTGACCTTGGACACGCTGCGGAATCATGACGCCTGCGTTGTTGACCAGCACGCTCACGGCGCCGACCTGCTCCTCGATGCGCTCGAAGGCGGCCTGCACGTCGCTCGTGTCCGACACGTCGCAGCGCACGCAGATCAGCTCCCCGGGACTTCCCTGGCCGGCGAGCTCGTCGGCAAGGACCTGAGGCAGGCGGCGAACATCCGGCGGCGTGAGCGGCACTCACGGTGCTCGCAGAGCAAAGCCATAAGTTCAGATATCACGTGGACTTTAGTGGGGGGGGGGTCCAAATGTCATGGGGTCCCTAAAGGATTAGGACAGTCATTGAAGTCCTTGGACACCCCAGGATATTTTTTTTTATCCCGGGGTACAAATATTATATCAGCCCCTTTGGACTTCAGTGACCGTTCGGTGTCTTTTGGGGCCCTATAAGTCCACGTGGTTTCTGAATAGTCCCAAAAGCTGTCTATCGTTCAAACGCGCAGATTCCCCACGTGACACTACCTGCAGCTTGTCCTCGCGGCGCGCCAGCCCCACGACGCGCACGCCCGCGCTCGCCAGGTCTCGCACGATGGCGGCCCCGATGCCCGCGCTCGCCCCCGTGACCACCGCCACCCGTCCGCTCCAGCGCTCCATGGCCTTGGAAATAAGTTGTTCACGAAAGTTGGCAACTGGAAAGGTGGTTGGTCTCGGACAGTTTTGGCTTCAGCCACGGTGAATTTTCAGCGTGATTGCCGTGAATACACACCGCGCGCGACGAAAGACGAAAAGACGAGAGAAACACTTTAAAAAGAGGTCCGTCCAGCAGGGGCAACGGACCGTCACTGCAGCTCACAGTCAGCTCGGCGAGTTCCGTGCGCTCCGTGAGGTATGGGAGGGAGAGGGGATGCCAGAGGTGGGGCACTTATTCCTCTCGAGAATTCCCGACAACCTTCAGGATTCAACAGCCAATGGCATCGATCGCATAAACGCACAGAGCTGTTACGCGATCGTGATGTCTTCTTGCAACTCTACTATCCTGCAGACTTGGAGATAGCTATTGGATACGGGTTCAGCCGTGACTCAGCAAGCTTCAGCAGTTGGGGGGCGAATGTGGCGTCATTTCTGCCAGCCGAGCGGGGAGAGTGGTAACTTCCTCCACCCCTTAGGAATCATCCAAAAAGTACGTCCGTCACTCGCCGTTACGAACCTGCAAAGTTCAGCCTTTGAAAGCTCTCATAGCGCCTGCTAGGTAGGCAACATCTTGCCTGCAGGGCATGCATGTACTGCGGGATGGCCTACCCCAAGTATCGCAGGCGCCAAGCTAGCGGACTTTGCCGAATGAATCTGTGAAACACGGACCTACTCTCTGGATGAACACTTCCTCAGCACCGCGCTAGCTTGCCACCTGTACATGCGATCTCAAATTGAAAATTGCATTTATATGTGTGCACATGTTGCAGCAAGTAATTAATTTCTTTTCAACACAGATTATTTTGCGTCGGCTAGTCAGGCGCGGTTTGAAGTTCGTCCGACGGAGGAGACGACTTGATGTGGGTTGCCTGCTACTTTCAGGGGTGTTGTAGGACAAATTGCCTGCCTACCCCAGGCGGCGATTTGGGCCGACAGGGCTATCGCCCCTCATCCCCTTGAAACCGCGCCTCCGGCAGTCATCATTAATCAAAAGAAAGCTTTGATGAATAACACATACGTGTTGCATACGTGACCCCGGACCCACCACCCTTGTTTGGACGAAATTGAGGTAATAGCGAGCAACGTGCACGACAGTAGCCGTAAATATTGGAGGTGAAGATAGGGGGCAGAAGACGGGGAACTGGTCACCACACCATGCAAAGGGCTATCTTTAGAAGAGGTGAAGTGGGCGGTTGATCGAGTGGGGGAAATGCACAGGGTATATGGAATGTGTGTAACAATGTGAACCCAGCCGACACTTGACGACACCACATATGCTAGACCAGCTAGACACTAGACAACTCACCAATGCCGCTGGTTTAAAGGCAAAAAAGGAGATAACAAAAATTCGAGTGATGGTTTACTATGAGTACAAAAATCAACAAATAAGTCAAAGTTACACACCCAAATTTTCTAACATTTATTTTATAACACTGAGATAAACATTAAACTTCCAGTATTACATGGGAAATTAAAATGAAATTTACATTTATTGTGACTCAAATATATAATTATTAAGGAGTGATAATTCTAAAATATAGTAATCAGCACAATTCTTAGACCAGCTTTTCCTTGTTTTACAGGCTGCTTAGTAATTAGCCCTTAGTCTTAAGGCCTAAAAACCCGAATCACAATGTAAGTAATGGTTCTCATTAGCCTAGGGGACGTATTGCTGCTATGAAAGAGTGTCAGATATGAGTATTTTGCGAGATAAAATTTTTATTTCCATATTAACTGAACTTTAGCTTTTTTTAAACTGATAAGTTTTGATTTTTAACCCTGTCGTTTTGTCTAATTTTGTACAAAGATTAGACATTAGCAAAAGATCATAAAAGACAAAAAGTTAAGGTTTAAACACAATACTACGGTAGTGGGCTACACTCTGCAGTAATTTTACAATTTCTTTCTGTTCAAGTGGATGTTAATTTTTTAATCTATAAATTCATTGTTTCTATTTGAGCAAATACTTGAAAACCTCTTTGAAGACTATTAGGTATGATTTATAACACTATTCTTTTTTTTCCCCCAATGATCCTCTAGATTTCTTGTTCACACCTGTTTTATCCAGGTAACTAGTTGATTCTACACAGGTGAAATTGGCCTTGACAGCACTCAAATGGTCGCAGAGATAAAACATCTGTTCAGCAATTGGTCACCACAATAAGGATTCACGAGGTAATCAATGATGGTGCTGGAATGAATCGGGAAGATGATCAGGTATACAGTATACTGTACTCCACAATTTCAAAAAAACTTATAAATTTATAAAGCCCACAGTGTTGCAGCAGAATTTTTTTTTTTTACATTGATTAGTAGAAGCACTTGGTGCAGACAGTATAGGTAATATTAAACACACAAGAAAAAATTTGAAAATTACTGTTTGGCAAAAAGAGGGCAAAATGTATTGCACAGCCACATCTGTAAACTGCTTCCAATTACATTAAGAATTAACTCGACATCCAATCCACAATATAACAATGAAATCAGAGTATGCATGAAGTTAGGCTTTGACTTCACATCACACATTCATTTTGATGGCAGCATGAAATTAAAGGTTGTTAACTATGCAAATTAATTTCAATATTGACAATTTTGTTAATAAAGTATACACATATGCAACACTCTAAAGAGGGAATCTTACAATACATAAAACTTTACTAATATTTCTCTCAGGGACGGACAATTAAGATGGGTCAGTAGTAGAGAACAACTTTTTCACCCAAAAGTTAGGGAATGACACAACTCTCTGGGGGCCAATACAATAACGCAAATGTTTTTAACAAACAACTCTTACATTGCCATTGGCATAAAAATGTAAAAAGTAAAGAAGTGAGATATGTGGATGAACAATGACGATTAAATCAAGTCAGTTGATGCTACAAAATTTATGAATTAATAAAAAGTGGAAACTGAGAAAATTGTAGAAATTAATTTGGCGAGATCCGATAGCTATGCAAGCAAATTTACTTAGATTAATAACACAGAATCTTTACACTATTTATGTGTGCAAAGAATTACTCTTTCCAAATAAAATTCCAATTCATCTTAAAGAGAGCAAAAATTACTGCCAGTAACAGCTGGTAATCATTGAAAGTAAAGAGTCAGACAGCTTTCTAGACTTATGTAAAGATATATTCCAATCTGTGCCAGTAATAATTTGACATTACATTCCCATGCATGATGCACGGATGCAGGTACCATTGGTAACTAAAACTTGAAATAATTCTTGAAAATTAAAATTTCTCACCTAGAGATTGAATGGACCTAAATAGGAAAATTTGTCTACAATTGTGAGCTTATCTATCAGACAACAAAACACTCTTCACACCTCAAATTTGTCACCAGGAGCAAAGCCTGAGAAATAAGGTTATCGACCATTCATAAACATATCAGGGAGTCTGTTAATTAACAACGATAGCCACTAAGTAACTTTGTAAAATAACCAATTATCACAAAGACGTAAAATTACATACAAACAAGTAAATGCAGCAGACTTGACTGTTCAAGTAATAATTGTAACAAAAATACAAACAAGTAGAAATTGGCCAAAACTTGGCATGGTACATTACAAAGTACAGTAATTCAAGGAATTTTACTTCCAATAAAAGATAATTTGGAGACCTTTCATTAGGACCATGGTAAACCTAAGACAGACCTCACTAAGCAAACACACATCAATCCAATGTGACATCTCTAGCAGAAAATAAATCCATGACATATGCCATGGCCATGACGTGCAAGAATCACAGCACTGTTGACATTTCTGACTTTGGATGGATTTATTATCATGCATGCCTTCTGAATAATTGACAACTCATGAGTAAAATTAGAATAAGTCTTGCTCAAGACTCTTGATTTCATGAAATTCTGACTTGAGCAACAAACAATATAACAGCAACAGAAAAATTACTTATACAATGAGCATACTTTGGCACTCACAAAAGTAAAAGTGACAATTGTACGCTTCTTTGCCCCACATCAAAAATAATGACAGCTCACCATTACAGGCTCAACATGACACATCCTACTCCATAGTTTTGGAGAATAGACATATTGCCAGCAAAAAGGTTGAAGCATGCCACTTAATTTTTCAACTTATTTTTAATTCATTGAATAAAATATTATGAAAAATAGGGTACATGATTGTTGGGAATGGGCACACAATATAATAAGAAACTACACGATCTAGGAGGACTGATGCTACATAAAGTTTTCAGTCAGATGCCTTACCAAAAAGCTTGATCTAATTCGCTTTAAGGAGAGGAGGGACTTTGGGTGGGGGGTGGGGTTAAGCTGGGTATATTATCCTGCGAGTGCCATGTCCTAGACAAGAGCATACCAACAATATACCGGAATGTAGGAATTACAGGTACAGTTAATTATGAATTTCTGATGACACCGGCCTGCAGTATCAACCAATAATATAATTTAGATACCATGACTAATTTCATTGACAATACATCTGCATACTAGCATTAATATATAATATAGATTTTTTGACACAGTAAAAAGTCATACAGTAATGATTATATCACGCAAAAATGGGTACAATTACAATTCATAAAGTCTAATTTTTGTAATGATTGGATCAAGAAAAATGTCATTCTATTAAGCTCACAGGGAAAAGGACAACAAACAATGCAAGAATTCAACTGCATGTGGAGTAGATAAACAGATTTCTTGCCTGCAAAATAGAATAACAATATTTGACTGCTAAACTATGATTCTAGTAAACATAAAAAATAAGCACCTGGACACAAACACAGGGACAAACATAAGAGTCAAGTATTCAGGCTTTGCCTTTAACATTTGAAATACACATTTAAACACTTTGTAAGTAAAAAATAAATTTACAAGTAATCATTATTTTATCTTTTTCACAATTAAAACACTTGATTGAAACATTAGTTTAAAAGATGTGCTACACTGGAATGTGGTAAACCATTACTCAGTGTCCTCAATGTGATTGACTTAAAATAATTTTAGAACAACATATGAGATGATAACAAGCTTGGGATCTTTACTCAAGACAATATGAGACATGAAAAGACATAGCAGATGAATTTAGTTTAGAGGGCTGTTTGAAAACCCCACAATTGCAGTACTTTGTGAATGGGCATCAGGAATGGACAGCAAGTCATACGTGTTTTTTGTTCCAGTTTGTGAGTGCTAAGCAAATGCTTTCAAGGAGTAAGTTCCCAACCATTACAGATAGACAGATTACAAATTTTAAATTATAGTAACAGTCAATGATAAATTAAGCTGAGAATCCTGTTGAAAAATACCTGTTGCTGTAACTTGGTATCTTCTGCAACAAAGGCTTAAGTTTGTTTTTTTTCAAATATGGTTATCTAAACTTCAGCATAATGTTTATGAGAAGGTAGTTTGTGATTTTTCCTCTGTTGCCAAGCAAGTTGCATGCCCCAAATTGCAAGAGGTCGCATGTAGCCAATTGCACGATAGTGATGTTTTTCATACAATGCCTCTGGTGTCTCAAATCCTAAACCTATGCGGTTGTAAACTGTGTTGAACATACCTCCAGCAGTAAGGAATGCTTCTTCCTCCATATTCTATGGACAGAGATTGAGGACATTAATGTTATATAATATAAAAAAGAGCACAATTATGACCAGTATATACCAAAATAAGCTCACCTCATGAATCATTAGGGCACACAAACCATAAACCACACCAGTCCAAACTTCCTCGCTCTGTATGGTAGATGTATCAACTTGACCAGATGGTAACATCCCATTCACAGCCCCCATCCTACCTTCACAGAATCCCATTACATTCAAACGAAAGATTGTTTTCAATGCAGATTTTACGTTTTCTGGGGGAAACACCTACAAAATAGTTGACAAATAATCAAGTATCCGACAAAAATATGGTTTTCCTTTCCAATAACTTTCTATCTGTTTAAATATTTACCTCATCAGTGACACCACATGCTCGCAAATACCACTGCCCACAAAGCTGATCAGACATGACAGACTTAGAATGAGCGGATTGTGAGGAGTCAAAATTGTAATATTGCCCTAGAGAAACAAGCAGAATTTTCCAATGTACAAAACAAATCTTTTTAAAGTTCCATAAAACACATTGCATTTTTGTTGAGAAAGAACCAAACCATTCCACAATTTTTCTTCAAACGACTGCTTTCCTCTTTCCAGTAAAGCAGCATATTTGTCAATGGCATCAATGTCAGCAAAGTGTACAGCCATTTTGTGCATACAGTAGAGAGCAGCAAGCCACAGGCTGCCACAGTAGGCGCTATAAAGTCAATGTCAATGTAGAAGAAAAGAATTTAGATGATAAAACGCTTTAAATTACACAAAGCAAAATGTTTGCAAACTTAGCTCTCTACCTTGGCCCTTCCATGACCCAGCTGTCATAAGTCTGATCTGGGGATCCATTGTTCTCAATTAGGCCATCTCCATCAGTGTCCCATGTCTCAGCTGTGTCAATCACCTAAACATACAGTCAATTCTCGTTAGTGCGACTCAGCGGGCAACAGGGGACCAAATCGTTATAACGGGGAAATCGTAGTAGCGGATTTCCCCGTTATAACGATTTTACCGTTTTTTTGGTGAAAAATCGTTGTATCCGGGAAAACCGACAATTTAGCAGAGTTTTAGTACGTGTAAGCTACCATAAGCTATTAAACAGTGCCTTATACATTTATTACACTAAGCATACCCCGAATTTCCATAGAAAAGTTAGCCCTTGTGATGTTTCAAAATAAGTGACTTCTTTACCAAATCTTAAATTTAGGTCATGTTATTACTTGACAGTATGTTGGCTGTTACATTACTCTATTGTACAATATTCTATTGTAAATTTTGAACTGTTTGTACCGGGTGTTGCATAAAAGACACAGGTGCGGGCGGGCGTGCCTACCCGCTCTGCCCGTAAGGCGCCATAGCCCCTTGGGTAGGCAAACCCGCCCGCACCTGTGTCTTTTATGCAACACCCGGTACAGTAAAAATATTTTACACTTTGATTCAATGGCTTATATTCTAACCCAATATCATGTACTACGGTTCCTTTGTACAATTATGTATTTGGCACTGTTTATCCAGGTTCGAGCGACCCGTTTTAGCCCATAAGTCGGGCGAGTTTGCACTAAAAATCGTTCAATCCGGTAAAAATTTTCGTTAGGGACGCCCCAAACCCGTCGTTCTAAGGGGTTTTTCGTTGTAAACGGGATTCGCTATACACGGGATTTTTAGCATACAAAAGCATGCAAATGACATGGGACAACGGAAAAAAATCGTTATAACGGGGTAATCGTTGTATCCGGGCGTCGCACTAACGAGAATTGACTGTAATACAGTTGACCCAAGACATAAAATTAACATTTTTTGTGGTATGGTAGAAAAGTTTAATATTGGCTCCAAGACTATGCTCAAAAGTGCTCTATGTCACATACCTTTTTACAACTAGACCACATGTCAGCCAAGTATCGTTCATTTTTGGTCAGAGAAAAATCACGCCACACTTGGAGCACATATTTCAAATTCAGATCTCGCCACTCAGAGACATCATGAATAGGATACGCATTGATCAATTTAAATGGGTCCTCCTCTGCATTGAATTAAAAACAACAATATGTATTAAGTAGGAAAAAAAGCTTAAGGCACACTATACTAACTATACCTATACCAACCAGGGTCTCCAACATCATGGGGAACTGTGTTCTTAACTTTGCGGTCTTGACTTTTGCCATCATACAAATGCCATCTTTGAGTTTTGTTTTCTTCTTCTAAAGTATCTCTAATATCATATTGTAGAACTTCCTGAAGTTTAGGCCACAACATTGCAAGTGCAAAAGAGGCATAAAAATGAACATCATATGTATTGTACATTCTATATTCATGTCCTTCCAAGTAGGCAAATCTACCATATTTATGTCTGAAAAAAATACACTTCTATTGAGTAACAATTCTCCACACAACGTCATTTAGTATTCTGACACATATTTATATTTACCTAGGATCATAGGTGGGGTCAATGTTTTTGTCATTGTGAACCAACCAAACTGTACCACCATCAGCAACAAAATAGAGCTCATTGAATAATGCACTAATATACCACTCAGGCAGGTCACTGCAAGGAAAAATTAGTATAACACAAGGTCAACAAATAGTAGGTAGTCAGACAATGCCAAGTGAATTTGATCAGTACCTATCATCTAAAATTGGGCGCTGCCACTCATCAATAGCCTTTTCCCACCGAACAAAATTCTCCAAAGCATATGCGCACAAAACAGAAGCTGATGTTTGTCTGGCTCCATCTTCAGAACCAGGCACAGACGCTGTAGTAAAATCTTGAGTTGTGTAGAATCTGGTGAGTAATCAATTATACTTTGAGTATTATGACTGAAGGAAAAGATAAAAGACAAATAAACAATTATGTACCTAGTATGCCAGGATTGAAAATGCACCTTGGGCATGTGCCATGCTAGTGCCATTTCTGTGTCCAAAGAAGAGCCAGCTGGAATGGATAGACGGCTGCATATAGCAGCTCCTAACTGCTCTCCAGATGCTGTATCAGATATCAGAACAAGATATAAATTGTGTTGACTTCTAATTACATAAATTTGTCTCAAATACATTGCACAAGTCACTGCGAAAGAGGAAGACTTAGGGATCATTCAGAAAGTAGGTCCGCCATTTGCCGTTGCGGAACTGCACTGCAAGCTCTCATAGCGCCTGATCGGTAGGCAACATCTTGCCGGCAGTGCATGCATGCATTGCTGGGTGGCCTACCCTGATTTTCGCAGGCGCTGAGCCCCTGGTTTGCCGCACAAATCTGGGAAAAGCGGACGTACTTTCTGGACGAACCCTTATGTGCCGCCAAAAAGAGTGACAACCCTGCTCTCATTGAAGTAGAAAAACACATACCAGTAGGACTACATGTTTCTGGGTCAGTCCACAGTTCTCCTTTCTCCGACAATCTGTTCCAAATATCAGCCCCTGAACCAGCAGGATCAAAACGGAGCATTCGGGTAATAGAAACTCCATCCTACAGATCAAAGATAAATTGTATAAGTTAAAAACTTTGCTAGTATTAATTTTGAATGGTTTTAAACAAAATACTGGACCTTTTTCTTTACTGCAAGGCCATAGGTGTAATCCATAGCATCCATCCTATGGGAAATTTGCACTCCAACAGCCTGAGTACCATTCTCAGCTTTAGAGTCAAGAGTAGTGCTGACACAATTTGCTGTCAGGAAGAGATTAGATTAGAATTTAGATTCCTTAAATGCAAATAGGAACAAGAAGCAGCATAAGAACAACAATTCATAGCTTACGATCTCTGTCATCTTTTCTGCCACATCCATTTTTAAAAGTAAAAGTTATACTGACATGAAGCATCTCTGTGCCCTCATTATGGGCAGTCCACACAAAAACTGCACCAGGCAATGTGGAATCCTGTTGTAATAAATAGGTACCATTGGTTGAAATAGACATATTGTGAGGTTACTAATATAAAATTATTTTACCTTGTAGTTATCTGGAATGACTGGAGAAATTTGTCTGCATACAAGTGTTAGGGCATAATCTGGAATACGGAATACACTCCATGCTCGGGGATATAGTGCTGTATACTCGGCCTGTGATCCATCAAAGTCCCATTCCCATGCTGATAACTGCTTTTTAGGTTTTCTGAGAGCAAAGTAAAATGCTTAAAACCAGCAACATACAAAATTTTAAGAAAGATCCTGGTAAAACTTATATGGTAAAATATACTTACGGATATGTGCTTAAAACTTTCTGATACACAGTCTTCTTTTGACTATCTTGAATAGTTACAATAAAATTATTTGCTGGAACAGTATTATATTCAACGCGCCCTGGTCTCAGTTGGAAGCGGCAAAATTCTCCACGATAGCCTCTACCAATAGTTCCTCCTCCAATACCTCCGATTGGTGCACCTACCAAGAAAGTGAGAGTAGAGCAAGCGTTTTGTTTGGTGTAAAAAGATAGGAAAATAATAATGCAAGGTGCTGCTTACCATAAATTTGTTTCCCAGTTTCCATTTTTATATAGTTCATTAGGGGTTGTCTTGAATGGAATGCATTGTACATATGATAAACCACATACCTGTAGTAAAATAAGACAAATTTAAAGAGTGTGATGTAAGGCATGCAGAGGCAGAGAAGAGGGATGGGTGGATAAATGAGTAGCTTGGCATTACACCGATTCAGATTTCTTCTTCTTCCCAAGTTGAATAGAGTTAGCATAAGAATGATAATGGAACCCAAATGACGACTAAGGGAGGAATTTTAAAAACCCACATATGTGTTAAGATCAATACCGAACGTGCGTGAGGCACCACCATAAATGTGTCATAAATAATGTACTTTGTGAGATTTTCAAAATATGGCAGATATGGCAGATCTGGCAAAAGGTGCACTTTTCTTTAGACAATAAGATAACCTCAATTTGACACAAAGTATTTAAGATAGACGGGCAAGTATCCCCGTACGTTAAGAGAATGTGCATTAACTTTTGGGAAGAAGCGTTATTAATGGTGATAATGACAGTGGAAACATCGCTACTTACCTGAGAGCAAGAGGTATTAGTTGGTAAATCTGGTGCCATCGGGGCCTCAGGTTCTGGTTCCTCTTTTCCTCAAATACATGATCCATCTTCACTTTCCAGCCGAATTTTGGGATGTTGTAGTCATCAGGGAAGTCCTCCGTGGACATGTTGGTTCTGGAGGAGAGCATTCCGGTGCACAAGGAATCTTCAAAAGCATCAACTTGCAGACAACGTCCCCGCCCAACCCAGCGGCCGGTGCTCGGTAGCAGACGACTTTTGCTTCTGCTGCAGGAAGGGGAGGGCCCAGACCCACTGATATCCTCTAATCCACCTCTCCAACTGTGCCTGCCTCGCCTCGACTGGTCGCACAGACTATCTTCCCTAAACTTCAGTACGTTCTTCCCCGAGCATACCGCGAGTGCAACCTGTGGCCCCGACGGGTTGCATTTCAACAAGTCTGCTCTGTTCTCTGTCAGAGGGGTGTGCACTGTTTGTTTCGACTGCGTATGGATCGCGACGCCCCTTTCCCCCACCCCCGTCTCTCTCACTCACACTGAAGCAAAGCGCCGGCTGAGAGAGAGACACACAAAGCACACATTTTATACACAGACCCCCGTCTTCCAAAATGTTTATCTTTTGGTTGACAAGTCCATTGCGTGGGTCTTGCCCATCAAATATTGCGCATGTGACAGGTTAAACAGTCATTCCAAAAGAAGCAGCGACATTGGCCGCGCAAAAGTTTTCACTCCACTTTAAGCAAAATCAGCCATCAGCCCCTTCCTCCTACATCTGCGCATCTCACGTCGTCTGCACATGCTTATTCGCACGACGATCTCCTATTGGTTGGAGGTAAGTAAACAACGGCCAGAGCCAAAGTTGTTGTTTATTCCCACGCAAGACGTTGACATCAAGCCACCTGTCAACATCCCTCAACGGTTCTAATGCAAATTTTCACATTTCTTCACAGCTCTGTTCAGTTTTATTGTAACCATGTTCAATAGCGTAGTGTTTAGAGACTGGCAAAGCACAGCTGAGGGAGAAACAGTTCTACAACATTTTTATGACCCACATTCATCAGGTAGAAAATTGTTTGGTAGGTAGTTTTTTATTATTTTTATTTTAAAACAGTCTGGTTTGTATGCTTTCTATTTAGGGAAAATTGTTGTATATTCACCATTCACGTCGCTTCTTCAACCTCAATAGTTTTATTGTCTTATATGTCTGCAAATATTTTTTTGGTCTTTAGGGATCCTGGAAAAACCAAACTTGCCCCCCAGTATTGAAGAAGTCTCCTACAAATTATTTGTTGGTGGAAGAGTCGGTGTTGGAAAAACTACTACAATTGCAAGACTAGCGGGAATTCAATGTAATACAAGCTACAGTGAAACTCCAGGAATACGAAAGACCAACGTCTATTGGCCAGTAAAAATTTGGGACAAAACAATACTTTTCAAACTACAGTTTTGGGATGCTGGTGAAAACAGCATGAAAAAGTACAGTCATATATTAACTGTGAGTATAATCATTTTTGATGATGAAATGTCATGCTTCAGAACAAAAACAAACTGTGGGGTTTATCCACTTTCCTATTTTTGTAGGCTTGTAAAGAAAAGGCAGATGCAATACTGCTGGTATTTTCTTACACTGATGCTGCAAGTTTCCATGAAATTCCACAGCTCATGAGCAAATTGTCACAGGGACATCATCCTGCAAAAATTGTAATTGGTACTAGGTCTGTATCCCTCAACTTCACTTTTGGTCATTTTAGTTGTTGTCAACTTGTACTGATGTTATTTTGTGTACCTTTTAGGTATAGTTCAACTAATAGCCTTGAGGTATCAAATGCTCAAACCAAAGAATTTGAGCTGAAGTGGAAAGTTAGAGTATTACGCTTGAATTCCTTTCTAAATGAAAGAAATGAAGTACATAAAATATCACCAATTATGAATGTAATTTGTGAACAGCTCTGGATCAGAGATCAAGACTATCTTCTAAAGCAAGGACTTAACTCCTGATTGTTTTAAGTTTTTAGAAGCTACAACCGGAAGAATAGCACTGAAGAATTTCCAGTCAACTAAAAAGAGGAAATAGGAGTTAACAACTGCAATTAAAACATGTGATATAATTTATTTCTTAAACATACATATTATTAAAAAATTGAGCATGTACATGAAAATGCAAATTGGATATAATTTTACAACTCTAGTATAAGGATTTCTTATGAATCAAAGTCTTATTTTTAAAGTAGTTTTCAAGGAAAAAACATGCACCTTATCTAAAATTCACCTTTGTGCACAGGACTGCCTGTGTGTCCACCAAAACCAATACATGTATTTATTTACCAAAAATTCAGATTAGAGGGTGGCTCCAAAGCACAGGGATTGGCACTGACAAATCACTTGATAAAACAGAATTAACCAATATTGGGTCATTAAAAGATCACACAGAGAGCAACTTTCCAACTAACATTATTTGAGTATGAGGCTGATTTAAGTTCAAATCTGCTTTGAGCAGAGAACAGTTTGTCACACAAATTTGGACAAAGATGAATTAACTGACACAAGACTTAAAGCTTAATATTTGTTCATGGAGACCGGCAGTTTACAAACATCTTTCCTAATGCTACAGCTCACAAATATATACCATAAACTGCTGGTATTGTTAAATTTCCTGTTATTCTTTGACCCTTTGAAAAATTACCATTATAATGTCAGTAATACTGTCACAGTTCTGCAACTTACAATATTTTATGATGGGGTAAGTTTTAGCAGTGGGTCAACTAAAGTCAGAAGAGCTGCAGCAGATGAAATAACGCCAAATACGCCCACAGACCCTGGGCTCAAGTTTAAAAATCCCAGAGCTGTCATTGGAATGACTACATCACAGGCATTTTTTACTGTGTCAACAATTATGTCTTTATGATCTCGGGCACATGAAGCTAGTTTTTTACGAGCATCACACCCGTCTGAAATAATATCAGACAGACCTATCTGGCGAATCTTTAAGATTCTGTAGATTTCATAAGCATCTCTCAACAGATTCATAAACAAAGCGTACATCCAGTATTTGTTTGCAACCTTACCCCACCTATCGCCATTAACTGAACAAAGACCAGTTCGCCCAATCCACAATATGTGATCAGCTAGAAGATATAGTGACATGGATATTCTTGACAAAGTTGTTGTGACTCTGACTGTTATATTTGGATAGTGTATTGATGATAGTGCAGTATACATTACATCGACACATTTCCCTAATCTAAGCACTGCAAAAATAAAATGAAACTTAGATGGGTGAAAAAATACATCGTCACAGTACTCCACTTACCATACTTACGTTTTCTGAAAGAACTGAAAGTGTATTCCAATGCACGTAGTTTCTCAATCGTCTGATGGTTCAACTTTTTTTGCTGCATATAATACCACAATGCTCTGCTTCCATATTGCAATATTCTGTTCAAATTTAATAAAACATGAGTGTCTTAAACCCTTGTCGTAACATACATATACATGCATTTTCATGAATACCAGTGGCTATGTCAAGGAGCTGACACAGGGTTAACACATTCACCACGTTCATATAAATGATAAAATGTAACGCTTATTTATTTTTTATTGTAATTTTTGGTTTACCGGTAAATACCGAAAATCATTTCATGCAAGTATTTGCGACGGGTGGGTGACCGGAGCACCAAGTGTAGTCTAACCGCAAATCGTACCGACTAGCCGGGTCAGCTCAATGCAATGCAGTTTCACACAGGCAGATGGTCTAACGACATATCAATATCAGTTGTCAAAACTCACCTCGCTAATTTATCTCGCCCGGCTGCTTGATTGTTCAACTTGATTATCGTCTCCATTATGACATGTGTCAATGAAAAGTGGGGAAGATGCGACGGTAACCGAAAGTTGTTATGAGGTCATATATTCCACCCGTGAAGTGACAGGTACTCCGCTGACGCCGCACATTCAGAACGGGTGGGTATTTGCGGCTTAGTTCAGAGTTCAGTCTTAACTAGAGTTGTTTATTCAGCAAGATAACAAAGACAAAAAAAACCTAGAAGAAAGAAAATAAACATGAGACATTAGATGAGAAACTCGTATTGAGGAAGAGTCACGTGATTCGTGGCGCTCTCTTTCAAGTGCGAGTGACGTCGGCCGGCAAGCGTACACGCGTGCGTGGCGAGAGAGGCGGTCGCGTGCGTTTCGCACACAGTACCTAGTACAGCCCCCTGGGCTCCACGACGACCCTCTTGACGAGGTGGAGCTGCTGGTCGCTCTCGAGGCCGCGCTGCCCCCAGGACTCGCAGCAGGTGGGCTCGACGGGGCGCGCGTGCTCGCGGGGCGACAGCGCGCCGTAGGGGGCCCCGGGGGCGCTGGCCACGCACCGCAGCGAGCCCCGGCAGCCCCACCGCGGGCACCAGCACTGCATGCCGTTCCTCTTCAGGCACAGGCAGCTGGTGAGGTGCCTGCCCCCGCGGAGCTCGGGGAGCTTCCAGCGGAAATACGGCGACAGCCTGACCCGGGGCTGCGGGACGGAACAGTGTCCGCGAGAAAAGTACCCGACCAACGCCCCGGCGTGGGGTGGTACCACCCTCACTTGTCCCGGTCCCACCCCTAGCCTCAGCCCCTAAGCCCCCCCCCCTACCCAATCCCCACCCCGTGGGAGGTCAGTCAGAGGTCGCTGTGGCTGCGGGTGACTCTCTACGGGTGTCCCCCTATCGGGTACAATTGGGGGGGGGGGGGCAAAAGGGTGTCACCCGAAAAGCCATGCAGCAGAGTAGTGACCGTATTTCTTACGTCAGTGATCGATCGTGGTAGGAAGGAGGTCGGCGTCTCCCCTGTTCGAAGGTGGCGATTGAGTTGCGTCGAGTAGAAGTTGAGATGGCTCGGCTCATCGGGGAAGTTCCTGGTGGTGTGGTGAGATGCGTATGAATCCCAAGTTTTGGCCCGTTTTTGCTTGTTTTGCTCTCGCGCAGACGCGGCAGTCTGAATAAAAGGCGTTTCGTCTTTCGCACTTACTTCACCTCCCCTGCTAAGTGGCCCAGGTTCTCCTTGAGGCCTTCGCGGTACTTGGCAGCCAGCGGGTAGCGGAGGCGGCGTACTGAACCGTCCTCGTTCACAATCTCAGCAAACTGGAACTTGATCATGATGCAGCGTTTTTGCTGCTGTTGTAGTTTCTTAAAAAAGATGTGTTTTTTGTGTATATTTTTATAAATAAAAGTAGATTTCGTTTTTTTTATTTCATTATTGGATTATTTTATGTTGGTGGCGCTTGGTGGTCTTAGGGGGCCCGGCTTGTCATTGTTTCAGCCAAAGAATAAGCGGTCCTATGGTAACGCCTTTTTTCAGCCACTATTATCGAAACCTGCTATCATCGAATGAAAGTCAAGGCTCGTGGAAAAAGTACCGCACCCTTACCCCTCACCTTGGACAGATTAAAACTGACAATTAAAATGACAAATTTTACCCATCCCTTAAGCAGTGGCTGAGTCCCGCAATGCGCGTTCAGGTCGTGCGTACGGTGAAAGAGAGGGGGATGGGGCGAGGGTTCTACCCCCTTGAGCACTAAAGCAGGATTCTATTTCCTCACACACGCACACACATCCTAGACAAACACCACCGGCGCTCGCTCGCATGGACGGCCGGGGTAGGATTAGACGTGGACGTTGTGAGGTCTCCTGCTCAGGACCGAGACGAGAAAGGGACACTCTGCTGTGCTGTGCGGGGCGGGCGGGGACGGGGGCGATCTAGTCATATCGTGTGACACCTTCAACGGGCGCTTGGGCGCGGGGAAAGGTTTTGGCACGCCGAGCTCGAAATGGTGAAAGTGCCCCCGCCCCCGCCCCCCGGCATGCGCGGAACCCCTCCCACAACCCCTCAAGGTTTGTTGCAGGCTGTCTTAACTCGGCCACGCCACGTCCCGCCTCGCCGCCGTCCCAGTGGAAACCGGGCGTTATCCTTGTATGGATTGGTAGTATCCTATCCTAGCCGAGCGTGCGGCTGGAAAAGTAGTGGCAGCCGCCGCCGTGAGCGGCCGAAGTAAGCGAGCGGCAGCCTGCAGCGTGCGTCTAGGCCATGCAGGCGCGCCTCGTCGAAAGCCTACGCCTAGATAACGTGGCTCTCTGGCGGACCGCGGACCACAGGGTGGTCGCTGTGCCGGTGTCCCCGGTGTCCCGTCCCACTGGCCCGCCTGCTCGGGTGGGTTTGCCGATTGTTTGAAGCTATTGGCCATGGCTCCCAATGGCGCCATGGCGCCTTCTGGCCCCCGTGCGAACAGGCAACCCGCTCGCACCCGCGTGCTTGCGGGCTAATGTACCGCCTTTACTGGGCGG